CCCCCCCCCCCATCCCTTCTCTGCTGGTAAGTGTCATCTTCCCCTGTGGCAGCCGGTGTACCGTACACCGCACTGCGGCCCTGGAATAATGCTCGCAAATGTCGAGCCCTCATCGGTCAGCATGGTCACCTGACCACATTGACTAATGAGAAGCGTTTCTTAGCAAGTCATGGAACACCGTACCGGAATGAGTTCATGTCATTTCTCTGCGGTGCATAGCTCTTTCTTTTGGTGGTATTTAATCACCATTGGGGGGTGTTATATTTTTTTACTTTTTTAAAGGTGCGCCTGAGACATTTCTAGGTTTCTGTGTACTAAGGCGTCCCGAGCTTTTCTGAGGACATTGAATTTGTATTTTAAATGTGTACATCAATCCCCCCCCGTGAACAAAAAAAAGTGAATAGTGACATTACACACTAAAAATTAAAAAATGCACAAGGATGCTTAGAGCCTCGAATTCCGCAGTTGGCTTGGTTACATCTCCCTCTATCTTTTTTTAGGAATGTCTACTTAGATGATCGGCACTATAAATAAGCTTCAGGATGGCGCACAGCCAGAGGTGCCGCGCTCGCTCGCCTGTCCTTTTCGTGTAGTCAGCATTCATCAGGCTCTCCCGCTGCCCCTGAGCTCAGGACTTGTCAGTTCTCTATTATAATCTCTGCTTGAGTAGCCCTCCTGCACGGTTCGGCGTGTGAACTGGGACTAGTACTGCCTGGATCACCCCCAGGCAGGGCACCCGCAGAGTCCAGGCAAGACAGAGTCCCCCCACCTCGCACAGTCCCTCCGACCTGTCTGTCTTCATTTCCTTCTCTTTGATTGGCTGTGACAGTCTGAATCTCTGTCTTGTACGCATCCGCTGGGCCGTCAGGTATTGTGTGTGGAGGAGGACAGAATCGCAATGGCGCAATTTTTCGGTCTGCATAGTAATGGGATTGTACCCATTGTAGGATTTTTTAAATTGCTGGTTATTTTTGCATAAATCTTTGTTACGTCTATAGACGGCGGCCCTCAGAAGTGGTTAAAACAAGAACGCGGCGGCAGCCGTTTTCTTGGTATCGTTTTTAACAGACAGACAATGGCTTTTACAAGCGATCCGGCGTCTATACAGCCGGATCGTGTACTGTGCAGCTTCCCCGCCGGGGCCACCGTCGGTTTCCACGGGCTCTGCTGTCCCCGTGCAGCGCCCGGGAGCGGCTTGGTGGGTCTCCCCGCAATGATCGCAGAGGGATTCAGCGGCTTCTACCCGCTGATCTCCTCCGATCACTGGACCCGGAAGTGATTTATATTACATCACTACCAGTGTCACTATTTACATTCTCCAGCTCTTAGAGCCAGGGGAAGAAGCTGGGGACGCAGATCTCGGCTTCTTTGGGGTCCTTAGGTGACGGGGGTCTGAAAGTCCCCTGATGTCTCCATAAAGAGGACCTATAGGAAATTATGGACACCGGCACTGCAAGGTAGAATAACGTCTTTTTATTGACGTTTCATGCAACAATACACTTATTGCATTGCAACGTTTCGGGGGTCACACAGGATCCCCTTCATCAGGCAGAACAAGTGATCACACCTCAATCATCTCTCAGGTTGCTGTCCTGGAAGATTCCTAGAAATACCGTTACCGGTAAGTCTAACGGAACATATTTTTTTATTCTATCCTCCCAGCACTGTCTTCTGGAAACGCACCACTCTTTGATCCAGCTCCATCCCTCTTCTGGGTTAAATAACGCCCAGCGTCCTTCTTCCCACCACTTCCTGTGAGCCCAGGATGTTGTGGACCCCAAACCCTTCCTGTGAACCCAGACAAGCCCCCGTGGTCTGAGCTGAATGCTGCAGAGAATGGGGTTGATGTCCTAACTCTCCATCATTTTAGGACCACCTACCGACCAGCTAGACAGGAAGGGGACCCCATGTGTCGCATGATGGGCCAGAGGACCCCCCTTCTTCTCTACTGTATGCTGTAGTGATGAGGAACCAAAGTGCACACCAGGGGACCAGGTTTCCAAAGGTTCTTCAGTGGACAATTACTTTATTATTGCAGCACGGGTGGATCGAGAAGGGAGTATCAAAGTTGCTCTTTGCAGGGAGCACTTTATTCCAGGAATTCTATTTTAGTGACAGTCGCTTTAAACTGATTGCAAGCGAGGAGTTGGAAACACCAAATGCAGTTCCAAATGCACCCCCCCCCCCGGCCTACGGTAGAGTTCCGT